ACTTCAGGAAGTTCAGTGGGTGATGACTTGTAGTTTTCCATGATGATTTAGGCATTACAGCAGCATGACAAAAGGTGAACATTATGTTCCTTGGAATGGGCTGTTTCTTATCTTATCTATCTTGTATTTGATCCAAAAAAATGCTTTTACTTTTATATTATATTATACATGCATACAAACACTTTTTTTTAGGTTAAATCATTTATTTTAATTTATCTACGATTAGAGGGAACACACGCGCACATGTAGTACATATAGCCTATATATCCAACTGTGTCATGACTGTGCTATGTAATTTCTGTTCCACACACACACACACACACCTCTCTTTCCATCCCATTAGCTCACACACCTTAGCTTTGACGCAGCTGGCATCGCAGCGTTCCTGTCATCCCCAGCTGTCCATCAATCTTCTGGAGCCATACCTCTGTCACATCAATAATAGTTAGTGTAGATGTGTGTGCGTGAGAGAGGTGCCTGCTCTGCCAGCAGTGGAAAACATGTTTTTTCTCTCTCTCTCTCTCTCTAGGTCTAACCCAGGTGTAATTACTAAACAACGCATGAGACAGAGAAGAGGGGGGGCGAACGGTTAATTGCTGATTTTCACTTAAGGAGAGTTGTGAGAACAGGGGATGGAAATGTGATGCCATTGTGCCACGTCATCAGTACGCTCAGTGTCAATTTAAACCCACACAATTAGGAACCCACACTATGTGATCGTAACGGCATTGATCAATATTATATATATATATATATATCTCAACATGTATGGACCGAGTGGTGTATTGAAATACTCTTATTCAGATTATTTTGCTGACAATGTAAAATGTTGTTGGTTATTTTAATGCATTTACTTTTTCAATTGATTAAAAAGTTAATTGATTGAAAACTCTGAGACCATTCGTTTGTGTCATCTCTAAGAAATGATCACAAAAATCCTTCTTGACTTTTCTCATGTTAAAATGTTTTCGTAATAATATATGTAGGTAACAATAGCTGTTTATTTGGTGAATATAAATGAAAATATTGAAATCCTACATTGTGCTCATTTAGTAAAACTATTGATTAATACTTTAAGCATTTTTGTAAAATAATAATTAACTTTTTGAGTTCAACAATTTGAATCTTATTTACTTCTATGGCTAAAAAAAGCTAGAAAAATATATAAAAAAATATATACATTAACAACTGTACTGTTCAGAAGTTCTAAGGTCGCTAAGATTGTAAAAATATTGTTCATTAAGGCTTTATCTGATCAAATCACTATACAAAAAGTACTATTTAAAAATATTACAATTTAAAATAACTATAATATATTTTAAAATTGTAGTTGGCAACTTATGTAGTTGGCAAAGTTATTGTTTTTCAACAGTGATTTTTTTTTTTTTGTGTGTGTGTGTCTCACATGGTTTTTCAGAAAATATACTAATATGCTGATTTTCTGCTCAAGAAACATTTCCTATTTTTAATGTTTCTTATTTTTTGTGGTAAACAACATAAAATGAATATATATTTAATGGATCTTTGTTGAAAGTACTCTTTGTTATTATTAACTTTACAATAATAATCGTACTGTCCCCAAACTGGAATGGTTTTGATTATCAGTCATCAAATACATCTTAAACATACTCTATCATTGTAACTGTTGTTACTAGCAAAGCGTTGTGCTGTTAAGATCTGGTGAAAGAGTTTAGATGTGTGTGTGGAAGCTGAATTGAACATACAACATCAGGCATGAGCTGTAGGTTGGCTTCTTCACCACTTATTTCAGCAGAAACCTTATCCTCATGTCTTTGTGAAGTGGCATCAGTGCTGCAAGCTAAAGAGATTGTTACTCATTACTCATAGTCAATTATATAGGTCAGGATGATCTTTTACCTAGACCAGGCCAGGTTTCATTAGACTTCTCTAAACTCTCTAAATGCCATTTTGCCTGTTTATTAGAAGAATAGTAAAGTGTACACCATAAATGTTACTGAAATAGGGATTGGTTAATGTTGCAGACTGGACTTGATTGTCCAAGTGAAAATTATGACATGTTTCTTTCCAGCGTGACACCAACGAATTTCAAATTTGAAACCACATTAGCTTCAGGCGTTTGATTTGAAATGAAGGAATTTCTTTTGAACTTAATTTGAAGTGACCTGATTTTGAGAGATTGGTTGCCATTTTACTTTAGAAAAAGTGTTGACAGCTTGCTCTGTTTAAGCTTGACATCATAAAACAAATAGCTGGGGAAAATGAGAGAAAAAAAAATGGCATGAAGTAATGGCATGTTGATCTGAATGAGATTTTATCTGGAGACAAAACCAACCGTTGTGACCTAACCGAAGGACGACCTGTGGGCGTATCAGTATTATTCTTTTTTTGGTTGTTGATGCATTTGTTGAATTGGAAGAAAACCAGAATGAAGTTAACATACCTTCACGCCCAGAGAGCTGGGGTGTCAAGGTTAGGATCTCTTCAGGTCTGTTAAAGAGTGAAAATTGATTCTCAGACTTCCTCAAAAGCCAACGCTGAACAGCAGTACGTGATCCCACTTTATAGTTTAAAGAATGTTTAAAGGCAGCACTTAACTTAGTGATTGCTGTCAGGATGTGAAGAGACTTTCATCCAGCATGATAATACGCTGTTACTGGTGAACGGGGCCAAACCGACTACTGTATCTCCCGCCTCAGCCTTCATTTTCCCGTCCTGAGAGCAGTATTAGCTAATATCCTTATAGGGATATTAGCCTATAGGGCTGCAACAAAAACGATTATTTCGATAATCGATTAATCTAACGATTATTATAGCGATTAATCGACTAATCGTCGATTATTCCACAGACTAATCGGTAGGCTTGGGACATTTATTCAGATTTTTCAATTAGTTAAAACATTGAGTTATACATATTCTTACTATAATATAAAAAAGAGAATCAATTCAGCTTTTGAAATGGTTAAAAAAGTAGTTGATGAACTTTGAGGCAACTAAACTGGTTATTCTCTATAAAAGTTTTCAGATTTCTCAGATCACACACAAATGCACTCTAGGCCCACTGCTTTTCTTAGAACTGAAACAGAAAAAGGGACATTTACTTCAGGACACAAAGAATGGTAAAATATTAATCTGCAAACCATTATTATAAGTATTAAATTACAATATTTTTTTAGATGAAAATTGAGCTGACAGAGACGTTCTCATTCACCTTTTAATATTTACATGAAAAAGTAACTGCCATGATATTCTTCCTAACATCTCCTTTTGTAAGTTTTTTATGATTATGGAACAAAATACAGGCACGTGATAAGACTATAATACCAACAAATATGGTGTTATGGAACAATAATAAAATAATAAACACACACAATAATAAAAACAGCACTGACTAAGCTCGATCAAGCTTTAGTCTAAAGCAAAATAAATCATCATGTCTGTAATTATATTATTATTGATAATATTATTACTAATAATATTATTACGTTTTCAGTGGATGATGAGCGCGAGACGCCGAAATGGATGCCCTAAGATTCTGAATGGAAAGTTTACTTTTAAAAATTTGCCAAATTGTCCCATTAACAAGACCAAGTGATCTGTGTTTTGTCATTGTGAACTGAGCTATCATCATCGCGGCACGTCCAGTCTGAAACACCACTTGATGATGGCCAAGCAAACACACACACACAGATGCGAATTCTCCACCCCCTCGTCAATATCAGGACCTCGTCAGTATTTCTTTCACCCTTTTATTGATGGACAGTGTTACATTGTGTGAGAGATTATTTGTATTTGTTAGTGTGAAATTGAACACTATTCCAATGTTATTTTCAATAATAATAATTAAAAAAAACAAGCCAATCCTCTTTCCCATGTTGATAAGAGCATTAAAATGAGAAAAAATAATGAAACAAAAAGAAATCAAAAGACATTTAGAATAGATAAAAAATGTGCGATTAATCGCGAGTAAACTATGACATTAATGCGATTAATCGCGATTAAATATTTTAATCGTTTGACAGCACTAGTTGAATTACATGATTGATTTAAGTAAACTTAAATCGTACATATATTTAAGCAGATTGATCACAATCAAATTAAGTTCGCTCAAAATGGCAATTGATTCGCACTATACTGCCACCTTCTGAATGTAAGAAGTTTTTACTTAAAATAAATGGTTTATGTTTAGACAATGCATAAGGATTTTGTACTGTTAAGTTGAGACATAATTACATGGACCTTAATAAAAACAATAATATAAGTGAAATAAATATATTATGTAAAGTGCACAATCTTCCTAGTTTGAGGTGTGTAATTCTGAAGGCTTATGCAACTTAAATTAAATTAAAAGTTTCTGAAAGAAATTCAGAACATTAGGGCATTGTAAATAGTAGTCGCAACAGAACTGGAGCCATTTCTGAGGATAAACTCTCTTACGATCCATGGAGACGTGACTCATTATTAGGGTTCATGTTTGAAGGTGTGCTGTGCGGTTGCTAGTCATTTGCTGTCATATGTGTTGCATATGTGTGTGTTTGCCAATGATTCCACCAGTGTGTATGTATGTGTGTGTGACTGCATCCTGTGAACACCCGAGTCTGCACTGGCTCTGAGTGAATGTCCGTCTGCAGTAGCAGAAATCAGGAAAGTGCATGTGTGTAAGATGTGCATGTGTAGCAATAAGGCAGACCACAGGAAGACTTGTGGCAGTAGCGACAGCCACTTCTAATTATGCACATCCGCCTTTGATGGATTTATGTGGCCCATATGAGAAGATTTGCCTTTGGGGTTTTCATAGTGAACCTCAAAATTGTCTATGGAATACTATGACCTTATGACCACCGTCCTAAATATGGGTTTTTTGTTTTTTTTTTAGTCATCAAAATCAGCTTTATTTGAAATATAGATTTATGATGGAATTTAATATTATGAATGTTTAATAAAAATGAAATGCATTATTTATTAGTAAGGTGAGTTTCTGTAATCTACCTTATAATTATGTATTTCTGTCTGTTTCCTAGGATTCCTTTCAAAATCGGACAACCAAGGAAACAGATTGTTTCAAAAACGGTAAGAGGATTTTCCTGTTCTTTTTCCCACGTTTGCTGTTTTCTGTGCCACAAAATACAATTGCAAAAATAAGGACTCTCAAACACGATAATATTAAATATTTTACACTGTATTTACCTCCCTATAATTTGCTATTAATGTATATGAAAATGTTAAAACAGTTCAAAAACAACATGGAATAGTGTCAAAGGTTACACACTTTGTTTTGATGGTCCATTTTAGTCATTCAACGAACTACAAGTAACTTTGCAGCTACATGTCAACTAACTCATTCAGTATTAGTGGACTATTAGGTTAGGGTTAGTAGAATTAATTGACAGGTCTAGTCATAGTCTGACAGTAGAATCTATATTGGGGGACCTTTTTTTAATTTTTAACTCAAGAGCTGACAGCCATTACTAACTTGAATGTGCAACGCTTCCGGTGTCAACATTTTGCAGTTAATTAGCTCTACAAATAAGCTTTTCAGATGTAAACTGGTACTCCTATCATATTATTTGAATGCATTGTTTTAAAGGAGTAGTTCACTTTAAAAAAAAAACTTTTGCTGATAATTTACTCACCCCCATGTCATCCAAGATGTCCACGTCATTCTTTCTTCAGTCGAAAAGGTTTTTGATGAAAACATTCCAGGATTTTTCTCCATATAATGGACTTCAATGGGAACCAAACGGTTCAAGGTCCAAATGAGAGTTTCAGTGCAAACTGTTCAAAGGGCTTTAAACGACACCAGGCGATGAATAAGGGTTTTATCAAGCGAAACGATCGCTTATTTAAGAAAAAAATAACAACGTTTAAGTTTTATAAGCTCAAATGCTTGTCTTGCTCTGTTCTGTGATGCACGTTCGTGACTCTCCTGTTCGAACTCGTTCATCAAAATGAACGAATCCTTTTTCGAGTCATTTGGTTAATTCAACGAATGAAATGAACGAATTGACTCGGAAAAGGATTTTTTCATTTCTTCTTTCAAGAGTATGTACATGGGTAACTGGACTGTAAAAGGAAGCGTTACCAATTATTAATTTCAATGAAAGTACATAGTACTTAAAGCCACTTAATATAAAGTGGGACCCCTAAAAGTTAAAGATTTTTAATAAAACTCGAGATGGTGGATGTGTGAAATGTCATGATTTATGGGTGTCCCTCATATTAAATATGAAACTCATGTGGACTGATATTTTTCCAATGTCTGGACTCCTTTACTGTATTAATGGAGTATATAAACAAGCGTTTCAATATATTGGTATTAAATGCATTTTCTGGGAATTTATATTTCAAGTTTTTACTGCAAATGTCGAAATACGTGCTCTTTGATCCATCAGTGCTTGAGTCACCATATATAAGAAAACATTTGGAATGGGTCAGACATAATTCTGACCAATTATTAAGTTTCGTTTTGTATAAAATGTATCTTCATTTAAATCAACAAATTGACTGGATTAATAAACAAGAAGCAAATATAGTAGACAATATAATTGGTTATACTGTTCCAAGGTCAATGATTGATTAACTCACTACAGAATCACCCTAATCATTCTAGAATGATTCATTCTTTCCAAAATAGAGCTATTCAGCTCATCCGGTGAGATTGTTTTCATATCGCAGAAAACCAAAATATTGCAATGTCAGTTTTGTCCAATATCGTGCATCCCTATGGGGTGTGATCTTTTGACTTGGGCCAGTATGAAAACACCCTGCAACAAAGTAGCATCGCGATGACCAATTTCCTCATTTCCCATTTGCTTCCGTAAATGTAGAGGTCTAGTTTTCTGGTCCGTTTGACTCCAGTGCTGTGGTTAGAGTTTGAGTCATTGTTTAAATAGATCAACTGTGAGTTCATAAGTTCTTCTCTGTTGTGGACACCGTACACTTGTGTGTCCGTAAGTGGGCGTCCTGATCTCTTCCTCATATTTGAGAGGTCAATCAACATCTTTTTTTTTTTTTTCTTCTCATTTTCCCCTCATCACCTCATTCCCTAACTCGCCTCCTTTCCTGTTACACCACTCTTCCATGGTCACCCATGAGTGGGCAGGCCACAGGCCGGACACGCGGCTCTAAACGGGGTTACCGACTGCCTGCCTTCCCAAATATTGTTTATTTACAGACTTTGCCCACCGAACCACAGGACAGGAACCCCTACTGCTGCAATTATGGCATCATTAACCCCCTACACACAGCGGTAGGGTGGCATGGACACAAACTAATGTGGCAACCGAAGGGCACTGCAATAATTACAGGACCTCCTGAAACTGCTGATTTCCAAATGAAAGATTTAGCTTGTTCTGTTTTCTTAATTCGATCTCGTTGGCGTTCTTCGGAGATCTCGCCTAATAGCTAAAAGGTCCCAAACTCGCTTTTGTCTTCTTGCATACATCGATTTGCTTTATTCTCTTGTCTTAGTTTTAGGTTCTGCAGCCGTGCGATTACACATCCAAGAGAGCTCGTGTAAAACTAGAGCACTAGTTTGCCCACACACTGCTTTAAAGAGATCTTTCTATCCATTCTTCTCGCTCCACTCTCATATCTCTCTCCATGTTCTCCACAGGTTGAAAGGGACTTTGAGCGGGAATATGAGAAGCTCCAAAAGTAAGTTGACGTGTCCGACGTTGTGTTTGTTTTTATTCTTATTCGATGTGTTCTGTTGCCCACAGAGCTTTGAATGTTTCAGAGTATCATTAGCTAGACTGCAGCAAGCACTCAAATATGTGTTTTCCCAACGAGAACGAAAAGTAGTACGTCGATTTTAAAAATAGATCGACGTTGGATCTGAAACCTTTTGATTTGATCAAAACCATGGCGCCAGTCTAGGTTTTCCAAAGGATTGCTACATTGGTGACAAGACCCTGATGGATTATTTGTTTCTCCCCAATCATGACAGAAGATAAGTGATTCTTGTATGACACAATGAAAGTGTGCTTACAGCGTTCTCGGTGCTCTAAATGAGAGGCTGACGAAAGCCTTAATCCATATGTATGTTCATGCATAGACCTGTATCCACAGTGACTTTCCTGGCCAGACTGTATAGACCATGTAATCCATAAATGCTGATTAATGTGAAGGGGTAAATCTCACAAAACCTCATCCTAAATATTTCATCCCAAAATTAAAAAAGTATTGAAATTAAAGCCGTTTTTTTTTTTTTTTAAATTGACATTAATATCCATAAAAAATGACAAAAAACGTTTTCATTGAAAAATGAAATTATAGTAATCTAAATGTGAGTTTTTAAATTATATGAAAATAATGTCTATGTATATGTTTTAATATCTATTATCAATTATATATTAAATTTGTGGGGGGCATTGAGATCTGGACATATTTTTGCAATATATTCGCCCCAGTATGGAGTAATCGAGTAGTTTTAAGGCGCAAACCTTTTTTCACAGCTTTGTTTTGCATGCTTATCATATCCCTTTTCTTGTTGAATCAGGTTGGAGGTCGTCTGTAGAGATGTATGTGCCTACTAGCGCCTCACCTAACCATGTCGCCTTAGTTTCGTTTGTGTAGGTGGAGTCTCAGTCAGTACAAAGAGTTACAAACCATATATCACTTATACACAAGCGCTTGTGGTGTGGGCACGGACATGTAGGGGCCTGAACTCTTGTCTGAGAGGGCCGCTCCTTTGGTTTGATTGCTGTCAGAATACCTCACATTACGCAACAAAACACACCCAGAGAACGTGATGCCCGTTGTCTTCATGAAACTCCTTTGTGGTCTTCTTTTTGGGGGCTGCACTACATTAAACGTTTCATTCATCAGATTTAGTTAAAGGATTAGTTCACTTTTGAAAAAACTTTTGCTGATAATTTACTCACCCCCATGGCATCCAAGATGTCCATGTCTTTCTTTCTTCAGTCGAAAAGAAATTAAGGTTTTTGATGAAAACATTCCAGGATTTTTCTCCATATAATGGACTTCAATGGGAACCAAACGGTTCAAGGTCCAAAAGACAGTTTCAGTGCAAACTATAAACTGTTCAAAGGGCTTTAAACGATTCTAGACGATGAATAAGGGTCTTATCAAGCAAAACGATCGCTCATTTAAAAAAAATTTAAAGTTTAAGTTTTTTATAAGCTCAAATGGTCGCCTTGCTCTGTTCTGTCATGCACGTTTGTGACTCCATTTCGAACTCGTTCATCATAATGAACAAATCTTTTTTTCCTGTCATTTGGTTCATTCAACGAACGAAACGAACAAATTGACTCGGAAAAAGATTCTTTCATTTTGATGAACGAGTTCGAACAGGAGAGTCGCGAACGTGCATCACAGAACAGAGCAAGGCGACCATTTGAGCTTATAAAACTTAAACTGTGTTATTTTTCTTTAATTGAGCGATCGTTTCGCTTGATAAGACCCTTATTCATCGTCTGGAATCGTTTAAAGCCCTTTGAACAGTTTGCAGTTTGCACTGAAAGTGTCTTTTGGACCTTGAACCGTTTGGTTCCCATTGAAGTCCATTATATGGAGAAAATCCTGGAATGTTTTCATCAAAAACCTTAATTTCTTTTCGACTGAAGAAAGAAAGACATGGACATCTTGGATGACATGGGGGTGAGTAAATTATCAGCAAGTTTTTTGAAAAGTGAACTACTCCTTTAAAAAAAATACCAACATGAACTAACCCTCATGTCTTTCCAAACCTGTATAACCTTTATTCTATGGAACATAAAAGGAGCAATTTTGTAGATTGTGCTGCTTGCAATTTGCCATGCAATTACAATAAACGAAATAACAGCTATTAGTGAAACATAAATAAATTATACAATCAAATGCAGACCGTAAAACCTTACCACAACCCTAAATCTTACCCTAATAAAATAAAAACCGGTGAAACGGGCCTCTGAATGCATAAAGGTAGTCCCTAATACTATTTTCTAAATTTTCCAAAGCCATAGTGTATGTTCTTTGTGTTTTAGATTTTTGAAGCATTACAATTTTGGGTAGATGGGGTTTCAGTTGATTGGCAAAAAACTCAGAGTCCTTTAAAAATATGTTAATTTGTCTTTTGCAAATGAACAAAGTCTTATGGGTTTAGAACAACATGATGCTGAGTAAACAATGACAGTGTTTTTATTTTTAGGTTAAAAACCTAATGGTTTGAGCCTAATAATATCCTTTAGTATAGTAAAACGAGGGGCTCGCGTTCTTTATTAACTTGTCGCCGCACATTTTGCCATGAGAATTCACACTTTGTGCCAGTTTCACTTGCATGTAGTCGTTGCGTTGTCTTTTCTCCTCCGTCTACCCCCCGTATTCATTCGTCAGGACGTGGGGGTTTGGTGCTAATGTGTTGGCTTGTAACCTGCGCTAACTCTAAATGCCATTCACATGTTCGAAGGAGGCGTGCTGCTAGCGTGTTCGCATGACAGCCGTCTGGAGCAGCTGGGCCAATGCTACTCTATTAGCACCTACCGTAATGGCCCCTTTATCTCGTCTTGTTAAGAGTCTTTCTTTTCATTTCTTGCCAGTTAACCGTGATTCCCACCTCCTCCTGCTCTTTATCTCTTCAATTGTTGTTTTAAAAAAAAGCTCTGCATCCTGAAATAAAGGTGATATACTTTCCCACAATTTTTTTGTCCACCTTCGTTTTCTTTGTAGAGAAAATTTGTAACCAAAAAATTACCAATTTCAGAAGCGTTTCCCCTGTTCTCTTAATTGCTGTAATAAGTGCGGTGCGAGGTGCCTCAGGGGAGTCCCCCAGTCCGTGTCTAATTTTCCATCTAATTGATTATAATGAACAGCTCCCCCATCACCGCCGCAAACACACAGTCATGCGAGCGCGAGTCGGATGCAATAGTGCGGTAATTGCAGTTGTTAACACCCCCAGCGGGTGTGAATGGATCAACACTGTGAAAGACCCTGTGAATGATCTCTTCTGCCTCTCAGGAACTGTTACTGCTGTACAGAAACATGAATGGATACTCGCAGATGAGCGGATTAAAATAGATCTTGTCGTTTTGTCTCTGATTTCAGGATGATATGAGCATTTAATACTGGAAAATGATCTGATGACAGTCAAGAATAGAAATGGTTTGGTGGGGATCATTTCTGCTGCACATACACCGAAATACCTAAAATGCCTTTATTTGCTTTTTGTCAAGTACAGATGTGCTGCTTATTTGCTTTATAAAGCCCCATTGGCTTATGTTGAAGGAGGGATGTGAACCTCATGAATTAGGGCTGTCAAATGATTAATCATGATTAATCGCATCCAAAATAAAAGTTTGTTTATATTTGTATATAATATAATAATAATACTTTCTTAAATATATACAAGTATCTGTGTGTATTTTTATATATATGAAATAATTATACACAGTGCACCCATATATATTATGTAAACACAAACTTTTATTTTGGATGTGATTAATCGTTTGACAGCCCTACTATGTATATGTGTGTAAATATAAATATCTACACAAACGTGTGTTCATGTTTTTTTGGGATCTTTTTGAACATTAAAGATTTTTATTCTGTATAAACTGTATATTCTATTCTCTTACACTATCCATCACAGAGAACTTTCTTAAGATTGGTCGTGGGGACCAAAAAATATCCCCACAAAGAATTCTGGATTTTGCCATCTTGTCCCCATAATGTAGTGTTCGCAATAAATTTTTTAAAATCAATTTTTTTTTTTTTTTTATTGATTCTATGTCATGTTTCTATGTCATGTTTATTTGTACTTAATTGTAAAGCGACCTTGAGTACTCTGAAATGCGCTGTATAAAATAAACATATTAATATTATTAGTGTTCAGTAGACCACATACATTCTTGACCAATGTGTTCTGGCTGAATTTTCTCAAGAATGGAAGACGTGAAAAAAAAAAAATGTTGTTAATTTTATTGACCCCTCCTCCCTTTTTTTTTTTAGGTTGGAAGAACAGACAAAGAAGCTGCATAAAGACATGAAGAAAAGCACAGAGGCTGATTTAGGTTTGTGATTGTGAGGATTCCCTGTTTGCTCATGTTGACCAGAGCCGATCCGCCCTATACGCTCACTACGCAAGCTGCGTTGTTGACTGATCTAAATATTACACTTCTCCACTCTGATATAATTGCTTTTACTGGTCATAAAGAAAGGAAATCTTTCCATTGTGTACAATTTTAAAGTCAATATAATCTTGCATCAACACTAGACTTGCACTGAACCATCATCTATTTCACTTTTGTATTTTCTGCTTTGATATAGACAGATATTTGAAAGTAGGGCTGTGAAATGATTAATCGCATCCAAAATAAAAGTTTGTGTTTACGTAATATATGTGTGTGTGGTGTGTATAATTATTTTGTGTATATGAAGAGTTCATTGCCATTAAGTGCCATTTGAAATTTTCTTCTAGAATAGTCATTTTTATCAAGCTTGTATATATAAGTTCTGTAATTTCACTTAAATGACAATTCATAGGTAATCTTCATTGCCATTTAAGTGAAATTACTTAACTTAAATATACAAGCTTGATAAAAATGGTCATTCTAGAAGAGAATTTCAAATGGCACTTAGAGGCTTTTGCATCTGAACTCTTCATATATTATAAATACACACATATGCATGTATACATTTAAGAAAAATGTGTTATTAATATATCAAATGTTTATATTTATGCATAATATTACTTTTGTATAAATATATATATAAAGTATATCCATGCAAATATTTATTAAATATGTACATGCATGTGTGTGTATTTACACTCTAAAAAAAAATGCAGGGTTGTTTTAACCCAATTTTGGGTCAAATATGGACAAACCCGGTCATTGGGTTACATTTTTAAATTACATTTTGAACCCAATGTTTGAGTTTGTCCATATTTGACCCAAAATTGGGTTAAAACAACCCAGCAATTTTTTAGAGTGTGTATATACAAAATAATTATATTATGTAAACACAAACTTTTATTTTGGATGCGATTAATCGCGATTAATCGTTTCACAGCCCTAATTAAAAGATGCATTACGGAGCTGAGTATTACACTTTGGGTCACTGATAGCATTATTAAAGCGATGTATTGGATTCAATAAACCCAGATTGAGACGTATGTTATTATTTTTATTTGTGCAGGTCTTAAACAGTCTTCAGTTTGATATTAAACACTCAGAGACCCTGTCTGTGTTCAGAAAACTCACATTTTTTCTATGTAGATTAGCTTCTGGAGAAACCTCATACAGTTAACGACTAATGATCACAAACTTCCAGACTTTAAAGTCTTTTCAAACACAAGAAACTCGCATGACGAAAAATGTGCACATTGTTGCTTGGCGATTAATTACAAATAATATCTATGTGTTCTATAACCAGCTCAAAATATCAAAAATGATTACTATCCTCTGACTGGATGGAATCGTAGTCGAAATCTAAATAATCAGAGTCTGTTCCCATCACACACTATGAATTTCTGAACGCCAGAGCCAGCCTGCAGATTTTCGGTTAACTAACGTCGTCGGGGCGTCCAGACAGCAAATCGGGGCAAAAGTATTCCAGCCTTTAATTCCACGTGTGTGTGTGTGGAGGAGTAAAAGGTGCTTTACACAACAGTTATGACAGGTCCCTTTCTGGTATCACTGCATATTGTGTGAAAGTTACCAGGTTTACCGGTTTTATCAGTTATGTTGTCATGACAATGAAACTTTACATAGTCAAGGCCATGTCTCATACAGACTTGTGTAATGTTTAAGCCTCATCACTATACTTTGGAAACAATTTGAGTGTTTCTGAATTAATCATATGCCACAAATGCCTGTTTTGAACCTGAAACATTCCTTGCAACATCCCAACATACTTAATAATGGACATGTAAAGGTCAAGAGGTGAATGCCGATTTCCACAGAATTCTAATAGAACTCAAAGATTTCAGAATTCCAACTCAAGGAACAAGGACCACATTTTACTGAATGTCAATCAAATGGAAATGAAGCATGAGGATAATTTTCTCTCTTCATTTTTGTGCTATAAAGGAAACTCAATGGTCAGGTTACACGGACACCGCTCAGCTGCACTTGCTTCATCAGGCCTTCACCACGTGGAGGCACATCAGCGGTGTATGAATCGACAGACATGGGCCTTTTTGTCTACAAGTCAACAAAAGTATATTGAAGTGCTTTCCATACATATCGGCAGGTCAGAAATATTCCGAATCTGTAAGATGCCAGGCAAAACAGAACGAAAAGAACAAAGATTTCCTGCACCGCTCCACAACTTTGTTGCGTGCAGGTTGGAAGGGGTCGTTAGAGAGTTGACGGAGATGATGAATATTCACTAAAGAGCTCTGATCGTGTAGTGATGCTTCAATAGTGCCAACGCCAATTACAGTCCGTCGCCTTCTTTGCCAGAGCTGCTTAAAATCAGAATGCTGATCAGATGAGCACGTCAGCGTCAATCCAGATCAGACGCGCACGAGGCAGGAAGCCAGATAAAACATCCACCCCTCGACACCCCACAGCCCAAACACAGGAAAGACTTGATTTACTTCAGATAATTGGGGCAAAGTCAAGAAAGAAGGGGAAAGTTTCTTCATTTCGGTCCTGTATGATGAATTTGGATGTCTTCCATTTTAAATTTGAGTAAATATGATACACATTCATTTTGTAAACGTAAAAATAATCATCATAATAATATGCTTTAGCATTTCTGCAACCGCACGTCAATAATAGTATCATCATTATGTTATTCATGGTTTAGTGTACTAATAAGCAAGAGACCAATTTTGCCATATGTTTAAATGTTTAAAACCACTTAGCACTCTTAAGTACTTGCCGTCTTTGCAGATGGTGACTGCTGATCTTTTTAAACCAATAATCATTATTCTGTTTGTAGATGACATGAAGTCCAGCCAATGGGGGAAAATGATTTTTTCGGCTGTTTTGCCATTCCTGTGTTTTTAGGATAAATGCTAACTGGTTTTGTTTGTTTTCCAGCAATGTCTAAAGCAGGAGTGAAGATCTCAGGGGACTTGTTGGGTAATCCGTTGTGTGAGCAGGATCAGGCTTTCCTTGAGTCCATGAACGCTCTGGATACAGCCATGAAGAGAATGGATGCGTTCAATCAGGAGAAGGTGAGATTCCGTTGAAAAAGAACAATGCGTCCTGATCAAGATTTTTGTGCTCCTGATCTGATACTAGGGTTGGGTATCGTTTGAATTTGAACGATTCCGATTCCTTGTTTCGATTCCGGTTCCTAACGATTCTCGATTCCGATTCTTTTAAGAGGCAGGGTCAAAAAAGTTTAGCTAACCTTGCTAACCAACGGCCTTTCTGAAGGAAATACTCCTTCTGTAAAAATACTCCTTTTGTCACAAATTTTGCATTTTGCCGAGATTTCGTTATTTTTAGAAAAGCGAAGCCACACTTTGGATCGCCGACGTAAGGTACTCATGTTCGACTCGTGTGGTTATGCCAACACTTCAGGTAGACGCTTCTTCGTTGGTGTTGTTCAGCGGTTTCTTCTTCCGCTCGGCGGACTGTGAATATTGAAACTAGGAATCGAAATTTTAACTTTTGAACGATTCCGGGAAAAACGAAAAGTTAGTCTCGGTTCCAATCGATACCCAACCCTATCTGATACTTGTATTTTCCTAGTGCATGGGTGCCCAAACCCTGCTCTTGCCGATCGACTGTCCTGCACAGTTTATCTCCAACCCTAATTAAACACACCTTAAGCAACCAATTAAGGTCTTCAGGATCACAAATTAAAGGCATGTGTGTTTGATTAGAGTTGGAGATGAGCTGTGCAAGGGCAGGAGCAAGGTTGGGCACCCCTGACCTAATGCTTTGTGCACACTTCAAGTACATTCAAGTTATTAAAATCAATATAATGTATACAGGGGTAGGGGCTCAGATGAAAAAAAAAGGGTGGGGGGGGGGGGTCATCTATCAGTACAGAGTAATTCCAACATAAGAATTGTTACGGTAATTATATGTATAGGTCTACATGATTTTTAAGACCGTAGTAGATGCAAACATCTGCTACAATGGTAAAACTTTTAAGTAGACTGCGTGGTCAATTAAGAATATGGGACTACTGATATAAACGTCTTGCATTTTATATGTACAATAAGCAGATAAATAAAAAAATATATATGGATATAGTTAGAAAGCATGAAGGTTGCGGTGCCAGAATTCCAGTCTGTCAGTCCGAAGCAAGACGCAACCCAAAGCAACTTATTATGGCATAAACAGTTCAGACAGTGTTATTAGAGATAAACCGTAAATAAATTACTTTTGTGTGATACATGTGTCGTGTGTGCCACTCTTCAACAGACATCACTGGCTCTAAACGAGTCACGCGCATTTAAGCTTCTTCTTTTCTTTTTAATGGCGGTTGGTAAACAAGGGTTGCCAGGTCATTACAACAAAAGTAGCCCAATGTCCAGTCAAAAGTTGCCCAAAAAGAGCCCAATGTGGAGGCCAAATTGAATTCTCCATTGATTTGTTCTTCTGGGGGGGTGTTTGGGATCGGATGTACAGGGGGGGGAATCAACTCGCGAAAAAAGATTACTAAAAAGACAACTTGGGCTCACGCCTTGCCCCTACCCCTCCGTTTTGCGCGTTCACGTCTAGGGGTCCCCCGATTCTTGTTGTTAAAGAGGGGTAGGGCTACATAGCCCAATTAACGGAGGCACACTCCGAACAGAGGGCTACTAGAAAGTTCCCAGACTGCATTGTGAATCACTGGCGAGATGGCTTCGCAAACGGTTAAACATTTAAATGTAACCCCAGATGACACCACCATACACTTTCTTTACTCTTATAATAATAATAATATAGTCATTTAAATTAAAAGATGGTTGGCCTATACTAAAAATTACCTTTCCAAGGTAAGAGCAGCGGCGCATCCTGTAAAAAACGCATCCTGTAAAAACTTGTCACTTCCGTAACGTCAGAGCCATAGTCGACGACTGATGATATATCGGTTCATGAAGGGTTGGTTCATTTCGTAGGGGAATATTTCAACTATGTAACTATGTTTTAAGGGCCAAGAGGTATACTCGAAAACAAGGAGTAGGGGCAAGGGGTGAAATGGGATTGAGCTTAAAAAGTACCTCAGTTCTGCGGGAAACCACAAACTTGGCAACACTGTGGCAAACCCAATTGACCTATGGGTAAGCCATGCCCCCTCCACTCACTCGGACACACAGTCAACATTCGGGGACAGGCGCTATGGCAGCTGTCACAGTAGGAGACATTTCACAGGAGGCAATTGGTGATTTTTGTAGACACAAAAAGATTATACATCATCTCGAAGTCACCTAAAGGGCCTCATCTATGCATTGGAGGGTTACATTAATAATCTTATTGCTGAGAAGGTCGATGAAAAGCTTCAGTTCCAGGCAAAAATGTACAGGTCACAGTGTAAACGTGATAAACCGCATATCGTTGCCATCACCGTTTGGTGCGACAGTATTTACATGAATCATTCAGCACAACATTGTTAACATTTGTTATCTCGATTATTTTCAAATACGTTAATAAAGCTTAGTGACATCATGTACGACGTAGCTAGAAGCTAACGTTAACGTTTTCTAATGTTAGCCTAAGATAACGTTCAAATACGTTGTTGACTTAACTTAGAACAGATGTAGACATCCTTGTTTAATTTATCCACGTTTAGTTGCTGTTGTGGTCTACCGCATAACTTAATCCAGAGCAGACACTTATTTCGGTTGAGATGTTGCTCATCTAAAAAAAAAACACTCTGTCGCCTAGCCTCTCGGGAAACTAGTGTCGAAGTTACGCATCCATGTACCCTATGCACAACGTTTGACCATTTTAAACTTAAAATGACAAGAAACAATTAATGAAAACTGACTAAATGCAATGCATTTCAATGGACGTGGAAGCAGAGAATGTCCAAGTGTATTGGGTTAGCTGCGCACTGTGATTGGCTTATCGCGTTTGAGGGCGGGGTTCAGCCATAGGTCAATTGAAAGTGCATACCGTCACCCTCTACACGACACCTGCGTGACAGCTGATGGAAAGTAAAGGATCGGGCTTAGGATAGCTTATACGATCAGTTAAATTAAGTTAAATTATCAATGCTTTGCATATCTTGTCTTTCCCATTTATCTCGAAATTTATTTTGAAATCTGCCATTTTGATGGCTAATAAGTGCTTAGTTCAGCTGACAGTTATATTTTATTCTATTTTAGCCTGAAGTGGAAGTCACGGGTTTCTGGCGTATTTCCTTTGTTTCGTTATTGTTTTTTTGGGACAGGTGAAATATCCTCAAATACCATTCAAGCCTCATTCTATATCAGACCTTTTGAACTATGATCCCGGAGGGCCGTTTTCCAGCAGAGGAATAACACCTTAATTTTATACAGCCAATGGCTGCTTTGGTGCGCTCATTATTATTGTTGGCCAATATGTATTAGGCTTATACTGACACCTAGTTATGTGAATGCACCATCACACACATATTTTCAGTTACCGATATGGTTGTCAGTATTTGCAGCCAGTTATGATGTTTATTTCATTAACGAAAGTGTACAGTACCGATTAATGTTCAGCCTATCTCAAAATGTATGCTCACATGAGGCAACCCGCTCCATGGAAAATACATGATATGACTGTAATCTCATGTAAGTTAACATTTCTCTGAAGTACTATTCATTTCTTTGGGGATAAAACTTTTTAATGAGGAAAAAGTTACTTTTTTCCTTCTTAAAATATCATATGCTCCGCCCCCACTTCGACCAGAAGTTATTTGGGCATTGTAAGCTGCTTCTTATTAGGCAGTGATACTTATTTACATAATAAGCAAGTGAATGTGAGACATGTTTATGTTTTAAGCGTATATTGCCGCCACTAGATCTGGCTTACTCACCTCTAGGCCCACACAGAATCTGTACACTTTTTATCTTTCCATATTTCTGTACTAATTGTGGAGGGGAAATCAGTGGAATTCTGCCGATTGGATTTGAATATGGTAAAATATGTTTTGTACTGCACTAAAAGTACTGCACTTGTATTGGTAAATGAAAGCATGTTTAAATTAGACAAAACATTTAATAAATGTCCACACACATCCCCAAAAGCTCACATTTACACTCCCTGAGCTTGGCATGTGCCCCGGAGCCTAAATCCGAATTTGGAAATGCACAGAAAATTAATAACGCATTCTGTGGAGCCTCTAAAGGGACATAGTTAGGCTTTCTGCAGTAGTCGGTGACAATACAGTACTGTTTGTACTGACAAATATTATAATTAAATGATGTATAACGTCACATCTAAAATGTACAAAAAAAAATTTATAAATAAAAAAGCGTCCTGTGAAATCCGATCCCTACGATCCTCTTGTTTGTTAACATTCTTAATTCGGAAGCAGGCTTGAATTACTTTGAAATTGACGCCATCCTTTATATTTGCATCTGAGTAGAGCTTGCGGTTATGGTAAGGGGCGGGACATTACCGAAACACGTGCTGCCAATCACAGCACATTTTGTATTTTGGAAGGAGGGGCTTCATCGAAACCGCAACGAAGCGGCGCCTTCGGCCCAGACTAGGGAGAGTGGAGCTGTAATAATGTAAAAAATGTGAAAAAACCCAAAACAAAGTCAAGACTTCGTAAAAGGGCATAATAGGACCCCTTTAAGATCTTCCAGGGTTAAGTGTCTTTAAGGGGACAGTGGTGATGACTCAAACATTTTATGGGTTTAGACCTACAACCTTTGGTTATCCATCCAAATGATTAGAGACTATTTCAATCCACCCTCAGAGATTGTTCTTAAGTTGACCCAGAGTTTACCGCAGCGCTCATGGCGTGAGAAGCTTAAAAACAGCAAGACTAGAACAATGAGTCTTAAGGTGCAGTCACTTTTACTGTTGTGTGCAAATTTTCACAGAAAAATAATCAATGTAATTTTGCATGAGGGTTAGGCCAAATGATTTTGGAATGGGTTCAAGTTGTACACCCAATGTACTGTTGAAATCTGCATGGTTTGAAAATGACTTTGGTGTGAGCTGTGCTTCATACATTGAACCTTGAACCAGTGAACCTTTTTTTGCCCGCCACGTTTCACCAACATTTCGCAAATATGACTGGATATATTTCAAA